ATCTATGACCTATATACATATTCTAAAATCTGACATTTCAAAATATTTCAGTACGATTCGTATGAGGGTAATATATTGTAAATGTTTTTGGGGTTTTTTGTTGTAGAAATAGTAATCTACAAAGATCAAATAAAGGTATGCATTTATTTAGATGATGCTACGGCTGATAATATTATTTATAAGCGGTTCGCTATGTTCAAAAGTGAAATTTCGATCCAAAAGTTGGGGAACGTTTCGATAAACCTTCATTCATTGGTGGTTACAAAATCAAAATGCTCGTTAAAAATAATCCCACAAAATGTGACAGGGTTAGAGTTACTGCGCGTATATCACTGTTGTAAGGCATTCGAAAAGACTTGGATACGGCATACGATTTAACGGCAAATATTTAATAGACCATATATCGATTTGCGATTCTCTGCTCCAACGCCACAAAATGACACGGTATTAAAAAGAATGATCACAAACAATGAAAAATGGATTGTTTACAACAATGTAGAGCATAACTGGTTCTGAGAGTAAAAACCCACTGTAAATCACTCGAAAAGTCGGTCTAATGTCGAAATGGAATCTGTTGTCGCACCACGGAAAAATTCCAACTTGTTCAGTTGAAACAAAGATAAGAAAAAAAATGAGTCATCAATTATTAATAATGTAATTATTTAATATTTTAAAAATGAAAAAAAATACATGTATATATCTGATTTTAATAAAGGTAAAATGAGAGTATTTTAATCGTGTATATATATATATATATATATATATATATATATATATATATATATATATATATATATATGGATTTTCTTCATATTGTTTGTGCATCTGCAACGAATAGGCTCAAATAGAAATTCTCCGTATCACACGGCAACCAGGTCCAACTGCTCCTTTTCAAAATATTCCATGGGAGAGATGACAGATATCTTATTTCTTCATATTCAGACGTCCTGAGGTTCATACTGTCACTGTTCTGGGGCAGCCATTTTCTTTTTTTTTACAAAGACACCACACTAGACGTCGTCTCTTTGTCCGGCGTTGCCAGTGGTATATATATATATATATATATATATATATATATATATATATATATATATATATATATATATGTGTGTGTGTGTGTGTGTGTGTGTGTATGTGTGTGAAGAAATAATGTTTTTAAGGTATGCTATATTTATGGGATAAAGTGCTCAATATCACAGATAGAGCGTATGTAAATATAAAAGTGAACATTGAAGTCAACGCTCAGAGACGACAGACTGTTTCATGCTAAACGCAATTATCACGTCACAAGTGTCGTGTTTTTTCTCGACTATTTCGAGAACTTATCTCAAAACGCAGACACAAAGACAATTTTTTACTAACTTACTTAAAAATCGAAAAATGAAAAAGATAAATAAAAATAAATAAAATAAAAGATAAATAAAAATAAATAAAAGATAAATAAAAATAAATAAAATAAAGATAAATAAGCAAAAACAAGTAAAATCAATTAATCCAAATATATAAAGTAAATAATAATCAAATTAACAAACGGCTCCCGCGAAAATAACCGTTAGAATAGACTACCCACAATGCAATAGACTATCCACAATGCACCACTGACCTCTACATATAAATAGTCGAGAAAAACATGACGCTTGTGGCCTGATGATTGCGTTTAGCATGAAACAGTCTGTTGCCTTAGAGAGTTTACTTCAACGTTCACTGAGTTACCGAGTGTGAATGAATATGAGAAAAACATTGTTAATGAGAGATAACAATCAATGAAAGCAGAGAATTTAAGAAGTAGTATTCGATGCGAACGTACGAGTAAATGCTGTTTTACAAAATAACTCATCAAATTAAGTGAAGAGAGGTTGATTAGAAGATTTATTCTTATCTAGGACATTATTATAGATCAGCAAACTTCGAAGCTATGGGGTGTTTCAGTCTATCCACAAACAAAGTTACTATTGTTAGGAGCAGCCACAAATTGAATTTTGTTGTAATCAGAACTATCACACTAGAAAACCAGGAGGAAGTGATTCCTGAGGACTATAGCGGCAAAACATGCCGGTGTGAACCAAGGAGAAAATTCTGATTTCAAGTTATATTTTCGAAAAGGAACAAAAGCATCACTACTGGCTTTGACCCAAGAAGAATTTTTTTATAGCACAATTCTCAATAGAAAGGTTAAGATTTTCAGTCCAAGGAACATCTCAAAGAAAGTCACAAAATGAATCCTTATCAGTACGCTGATTACAGAAAGAAAACTGGTGAATAGGAGGTTCCTTTCTCATAGACGACACAAAAGAAATAGTAACAAAAACTACTGCGTGATACGAATTGCCAAGAGAACAGAACTGTGTGGCTCAACAAGAGCTAGGAGAGGAGGCAAGAAACAAATCAAGTAAATATGCATGTTGATCAGAAATTATCAAGAAAATGGTTAGGGAAATCCATAAATTGAGTAAGAGGAAAACTTGAAAGCCTGACTACAGGGTACATAGAAACGCGATTCATAATTTTAAAAGGAATTTTTTAAAATGAAAAATCTTACTTGAAGCTTTTATTTTACTTTCAATTTCAATCTGTTAGATTAAATTTAATATTTCCAGTACGCAAAATACTTTGCTGTTTTTTTAAACAAATTTAAATTGATTAGAATGAGTTTTTATTTTTTAATTGCTAAAAATGACTGATTTTAGCTATATTCTCTCAATACAACGTAATTCTCTTTATTAAAAAAAAACTTTCAAAAGTAAGTTATACTTTTCTAAAACTTTATTGGGGGCAGATTGGCTGATGTAAAGTTGAATTAAACTGATTTTTTGAACAATCATTTCCAAGATGAAGAAGAGAGTTGGGGCAGCAGAAATGTGGTTATACAGAAGCATATTGAGAATACCATGAAATGAATATGTGAGTAGCGACAATGTTTTACGGAAAAACGAAACACAAAGGACACTTATACTTAATATCGGAAACAGAGAGTTGAAATCTCTAGGACATCTAATGACGGAAGAGGTCTTGGAAAATTTTTAACTCAGAGGAGCTATATTGAAGGCAGCACATAACCTTCCTAACGGGCATGTGTACATGGTTGACAGAACAGGGATTATAGGAGATATAACAAAAAGAGAGTATTTACTAAGAGCTACTTTACAATGTACTACTCGCGCTAAATGCACATTTGACTGAACATCTGCTAACATCCTAAATCAATATCAGCAAGTCATCGGTAAAACACAGACCCCCCCCCCACCTATCAATGTGTAGACTCTCTTCTTTAGTTAATTCGAATCGTGTCAGGACGCTTAGGCACAAACACAGTATGGATTTTATGGACATCATCCATATACGGAAGGCGAAAAGGAACGACTGTCATCATATAAAAGAAACAAGTGAGTAAAGAACTTATTAGAGTAAACGAATCTTTTTCATTATAATTTGTTTCTTCTGTGGTTATTCATAGAATTTCCTTTTTTTATTGCATGTAACTAATTCCACTTGAAATGATGCAGATCATGAATAAAAAAAAAAGCGGCAAAATCAGTTCCTAATATTTCTGCCCACTTACGCTGTTCGAGAAAAGATGTTCACGTAAATGCAGCTCAAATATCAAACGTTTTCTGTGGAGAATAAAATCTTGGCTATGAGTGTAGTTAAATAAGCGTCCAATCTATGAACGACATTTCATTATGAAGCGAAATGTTAAATGTTACTGGATCAGATGTCAACACTGTCCATCCTGAATGACCGTATGTCTTTAGACCTAAACGGGCTAAAGTAGACAATTTTTGAGTAGACGAGAAATGTCGAACAAGTTGTTCACAAAATACAGCTCAAATAACAAACGTTCCCTGATTCTGTAAAGAATGAGATCTTGGCTATGAGATTAAAACGTGTAATTAAATAAACGATCATTATATAAATGACATTTCAACATGAACCTAGATGTAAATGAATCACTTATTGACACTCTCCTTCCTGAATCACCGTGTGCATTTAGACCTAACCGAACTAGTTTAGACATAATCTTTGAGTAGAAGAGAAATATGTCGATCAAGTTGTTCATTGCAAATGCAGATCAAATAGCAAATGTTTCCTGATTCAATAAAGAACGAAATCTTGGCCGTGAGATTAAGACGTGTAATTAAATAAACGTTTAATATTTTACTGACACTTGACTGACTTGAAATGATGCAAGCAACGAATAAGAAAGAAGCAAAATAAGTTCCTAATATTTCTGTAGACTTTCACTGAGAAAAGTATCCAATATTCATTTGTCTTGAATATTTGACTGACACTTGTTAAAGTAAAAGACACTTTCACTTTAACACATTTTTCTTTATTAATTATTCTTTTCTGGTTATTCATAGAATTTGTTTTTTCGATGCATGTAGATGAAGCCATAAATAAATAACCAATAAAATAAGTTCCGAATATTACTATAAACTTTCTCTGTTCACGACAAGAGCCAAATATTTTGCCATATCCATGATGCTTGACGCGAATTTCAAAATTCCTCTTGTAAATCAGATTCAAGATCCAGCCAACTGATTAGCTTATTGATTTCTTTATCAAGGTACGATTCGAATAATAGAAATAATGAAAAATGTAATCTGATTAGATGAATCAGTTTTATCAATATTCAAAATAAGTTCCAAATATTTCTGTACACTTTCTCTGTTCGTGACAAGATATATCATTAAACTAGATAGGATTTTGTTTTTTTTTTAATTTGGATTATTAACCTTTTTTTGTTGTTGTAAGAATTGGTCGCAAATTTCTAATCAAGCAAATCATATGAAGTCTGTTTAATCTGTTGGATTAACATACGTAAGGTGAAAATAGCAAATATCGTAGAAAAAATGAATCGGACAAGAAGTTATTAATGTAAATGTAGATAGAATGAATTAAGTGAATTCTCTGATCTTGAATATGTGAACGACATTTCATGATATAAATCAATGTAAATTGTGAAAGTGCCTTTTTCTTTATAAATTATTCTTCTGTGGTTATTCGCAGAATTTCCTCTTTCGTTGCATGTAGATGATTCCAATTGAAATGATACAGGAAATGAATAAAGAACCGGAAATAAAGTAAAATATGGCGTCGAAAGACTGTGTTGCCTCGAACAAATAACCTGAAAAAAAAAAGTATTAAATGAAAATCTGTTCAATGTGAAGTAAAGCTACTAGTATCAATATTTATTTTAATCATGAATATTTTCTTCATTTTATTAATTAAAAAAATATATTGTTTTCGATTTTAAAATTATTTTTTTAACTCCATTAAAATAATTCAGTAAAGTCCTGAATATATATGGTAAGCCGCAGGTGAAAAAATATTTTAAAAAACCTTTTTAATACCCAAGTGGATATTGTTGGTGCTCAATTTTAGACTTAGATACACTGAGAATATTGGTTATCTACCATATTTTATAAAGTTGTTTATTCTCATATCTTCAAAAAAAAAAAAAATAAAATAAAATAATGTGCTGGAAATTTTACAATTTTCTTCCATTGTCACTGCTCGACTCAAAATGCAAAAATATGGCCACATTTTGTAAAGTAGACGCAAATCAAAATAAAAGAAAGATCGGTATTTGGGGATACGGTCATTTAAAACGAAACACTTGTCATGAAAATGTCATTCTCCTATGTAAGTCTACCATTGATCTTTACATTGAATATTGTTGCTACATCTGGTCTGGTGTTTCTGCGATAAATCTAGGGTTTCTTGACAAAGTCCAAAGAAGAATAAGCAATATTATCGGTACCGACCTGGCATCTTGGCATCTACTCCATCTACAATTTATTTTCATGATAATTGTTCTGATGATCTTTCTCTCAATTTTGTACGATAATTTCATCAATTTAAGCGCAGAACTAGATTGGCCGCTAGGTCTCATCATTTTACTGCTAAGTGTAACCGTAAGTTCTATACTAATAGTTTCTTCTCTCGCACTTCACACCAATGGGACTTTATGCCAACTTCTTGTTTTCCTCTCAACTATAATGTTCCAAAAATTAAATGCAAAATCAATCGTCATTTTCTTTCTCCTTGAATCCTTTTCTTTTCAATGTCCATTCTCTCCTATTTTTCTCAGTTTCCATCACTCTATTGTATTTTATTCACAGTTAAAAATTGGTTTTAAAATCGTTTGGAAACGTGCCACTTGACGGCTTCTGTTATGATGATTAGCTGAAACATTATTAATTGTAAGAATACAAGAAACGAACTTAATTACCTGCAATTATCGTCTTGATAAGGTAAGAGAAACCAATCAAAAGACATAAAGGAGAATAACCTTTAGTCAGGTTTTTTACTCCCAAAATTGAAGACACAAGCACAATTCGAAGGGGAAAGGTAAAACCTACAAAACAAAGCAAAAACAAAAAGTTACTAAATACAATGAAGACCTGAAGAAGATTTACACAGACAACAGTCGAAGCGTTCTGACAGTTTTTTTTTTTGTTCTTTTTTTTTTTTGTTCTTTCTTAATACTTTATTAATAATTATGTTTACTTTAGATTGGATAAGTAATTTATGCAATCTCTATCTATAAAAGGCAGGCAGTGTGTGTGTGTGTGTGTGTGTGTGTGTGTGTGTGTGTGTGTGTGTGTGTGTGCGTGTGTGTGTAAAGAATGCACGGCCGCAATTTTCGATGGATTTGCACCAAAATTTACATGCACATGCTCCAAGTTAGCGGGAAGGCCAAGACCGACTTTGTATTTCCCAACTCCCATCTATAGTGGAAATAATAGATTTTTTCATGCTTCTACGGCACTTTTGCGGCCATTTTGTACTGGCCAGAGTGAGAGCCAATAGGCAGAAAGATTCTATTGGCCAGCGTGAGAGCCAACAGCTGACTGACACGAATGTTAACTAGCATGCAAAAAAATCGATAGCTGCATTCGTCACAAGTGGGAAAAATTTAAATCTGCATGGCACTTTACTCCAATTGGCTCATTCGCTTGCTTAAACTCAACGTTGATTCTGATTCCGCAGAACTGGGTTGGGTGTGAAAAAGTATTTGTTGTTAACATTCTTTTTTCATTCGGTTTTTCCAGTTACGAGTCCTTTTTTAAAGCTGATCGTTTTTTGTTCATTTTGTTTAGTTCTTTTTACGTAACAGATTTAATGTTTAGTATAGAGCTTAGAAAAAATTCGCAGTGTGAGAAGTAAGGCATGTAGTAACATCAGCACGGCAAAAGGCACTCCTTTAAAAGCAAAGAAGGGCAAAATATTTTAAGTCAAGTGATAGCGATTGCTGTATGAGTCGTACGATTTTTTAATCAAGCACGGGCAACGCCGGGCCATGCTGCTAGTGAAATCATAATAGGATTTTATAGAGAAATATCGGTAATCCTTTTAAAGTACATTGTAGAAACAATATGCCAATTTTAATTTCTGTATAAATTCCTGTGATTCGATGTTGTTGCTCTTACACAAGAATTTAAAAAAAATTTAATTAGAGAAAATAATATATATATATATGTATAATCCTCGTTTCTTGAAAGTTTAGAGTTTAATCCCTTATTCCGGTGCGGGCAGGAATACATATCAATTGAGTGAGGAAAGTAGTTATGTCATCGTAAGAAACAACTGATAATTACGAGGTCAGAAATAACGTAGGAAGAACACAGTATGTGAAATAAATTAAATTGAAACAGCTCACATTATTCAAATATTATCGTTCGAAATTTCTGAATTCGACAGAAAACTGAAGAAGGCCAAATAGTACAAGGCCGAAACATTGAAAATAATATAACAAATGAAGCGGTCCTGAAACTAGCATTTTATAATTAGAAAATTTAATTCGATGAAAAATAAAAAAAGAACTTGACTCAAATTTCAAACTCACAGAGAGAGTTATATATTAAATAGAATATTTGGAATAAAGCGCTCGTTTAGACGTACCTTTTGTTATATAACATTTATTTAAAGCTTTAAATATTTTAAAAGAATTTAAAGTGTAATTATTTATTTCTTCAGAACAGGAGATATATTTTCTTAGCACGATTTTGATCTTATTATAGTTGTGCTGATTATAATTGTCGTGAAATAATATATCGAATATGTGATTTTTTTGGAATATTTCTCTGGTCTTCTTTGGTTGTCTTCTTGCGAAGTTTCAACCGCTGTACATTCAGACGTTCTTCAGTTTTTTATTTTAAAAATGTTTAATAATGTCCTGTTGTGCAAATGCATTTCTAACTACATCGCATTAGGTGACCGCATGATTTTGAAACGTTAACTCTGCATTTCTTTTCGATTCAATGGCTCCCGTCTATTATTCATATTGATTGGCTAATTGCATGGTTTCAGTCTTATTTTCTTGTAATACCTCTATTCACATGTAATAAAGACGAAAAATATAGGCATTTATCAAAAAAGTCAGATTTGAGATCCCAGAAATACAGAAACACCGGATGTGATGCGTTTGAGAAGACGCACACATGCCCTAAAACAACAGTATTTTTAAAGATTTTCATTCAGCGGGAATACTCTTCAGAAAATTGATTAATTTACTTTACTTACTGAAATACTTACCGTGGCAAATGGCGAACAAACATACGCACGCGACGAACAAAGAGAACGATTGGCAGAATGTAAAGACTAAAGAAAAGGCTGACATGCCAAGCAATGACGACATCAGAAGGTAACTTGTTGGGATGTGAAACAGGTCAGCCATAATTCCCACAACAATTTGGCTAAGCGCCATAACTGCACCGTAGATGGACATGATCAAGGCTCCTTGTTCTCGTGTGAGTCCAGTATCCACAACTTTTGGCGCAAGATAGATTTTAACACATTCGCCCGCTGACAAAAATTATAAATAAAAGAATTATAGATTACATAGGCATGTAAGAATTTTCTTCATATATAAATATCTAATTCATCGTAATAAGACAGTATGCATGTATGGAGAGGGAATATACATAAGCATGCTGACAAAAACACAAAAAATTCTTAAAATATAAGAATGCCGATAACTCCTTCACTATTTCTCGGACCAATCTTAATTGTTTTATAACCCTTCACGCAGAACTTTTTCACTGTCAATTCAGGAAAACATTTGGGTCACTAACACACAAAAAAGAGAATGTCTCATATCGAGAATATTTAACATCGAAAAACATAAGAAAAAAATTAATTATTTTTAATAACATGTGGAAATCTCCACGCTTTGCCTGATGAAGGTCGCGAGACCGGAAACTAGTGTAGCAAAATTATGGAAAATAAACCATAATATCCACATTACAACCAAAAATGTTTGCGATTTCTCTCTTCTTTTTAATATACACACTTTTCTCACGTTGGAACTACTATAACCTCTTCCTTTTATATATATATATATATATATATATATATATATATATAAATTAGTAGGGATAATTCCAAAGAGGACATTAATCGAAAGAGAGTTCAATGTAAGTAACAGAGCAATGAGTACAAAAAATCCTTATAAATTCATTTGGTTATAATTTATTTCATGAATATACAACTATTCATCTCACCAGACCGAAGTTTTTTTTAATAAATGGAGTCAATTTATCCAGACGAAAGGAAAATGGGGAGGAAAAAAGAAAAAAGAAAAGGAATATAATTTGATTGTTAAAAAAGGAAGAAAGAAAAAGAAAAATTTCAATATAAGTTTTAAAAAATATTGTGGGGAGAGAGAAAGTAAGAGAGAAGGGCTAAGAGCAGCGGGGAGGAGAGAGAAGGAGAATATCTATAGTACAGGTAATAAATCTGTTGGTATATAATCCAAGTGAATCCTAATAATATAAAACATTAAATCTGATCCACAAAAAGAGCTCAGTGTGTTTATTATAACAGAGCATATAGATAGTATTACAAAACAAAATCCAGATATGAGGTTATTTTTGGATTACATTTTGTATTATATATATATATATATATATATATATATATATATATATATATATATATATATATATTAATGCATGTTTCATTAAATAATATAGACAAGATTTGTCTATTTATTTTAAGTAAGTTCCTTTCATATTGTCTGATAAGCTTAATACCATTATCGTTGAAAGACGAAAGGAAATCCCCATATTGATACATGTTTAAATCCAATCTAAGCTTTCGGCTTACATAAGCCATTATCAAAGATAACAATTACTTTTCAATATATCAACCAATACACGGTCGAAACAATAACGAAGTCTGTTTTTGTTGCATGAAAAATTTCAAAGCAACGACTAAGTAGTGTTTACGAAACGCGGAAGCAAAAATCGCGTCGCAGATCGTGACGTCACACATGACCACGCGAGAGTGAAAACGAGAAGTATTAAGTATGGGAAGCTGCCTAAATATACAATATATATATATATATATATATATATGTATGTACCGTCAAAAATACATGATGAAAACAGGCCCTAGGCTTGATAAAAACAAAGTTTTATCTTCAAAATGTTTAGACTTTTATTATGAGGGAAGACCAAAGTATTTTTTATTAATATTTTTAATCCTTTCTCGCACGTTTGATTAAAATTCTTGTTTTTCTTGCGTTAGTGGTGGGCCATAGATTCTTTTATGGAGTAGTAGCATTTTTTTTTTTTTTTTGGTGTTAAAAACACATTGTTTGGAAAAGTTTTGCAAAACTAAATAATTGTCGAATTTTAATTAAATTTTCCTGACAAATGAAAGAGACTATTTATCAATTTTGTTTAGAAAATATTGGTGAAATATTTTTTTAAATGTTACATCCACTTATTTAATTTTATGAAATTTCGAGAAATTAAAATTTCAGCCCCTTCGTCAAAAGCAATATTCCTTGGAGAATTTTAATCATCAATTTTTCTTTTGTCAAATAGAAACACCATTTACCCAAAATCTACTCTGAATCCAAAATGCAAGAAAACTAAGACATTATTTAATTGGAAAAGCTGTTAATTGCTTTTATAAATAAGATATATTAAGGACACAATTTTTCTATGAATAATAAATTTTTACAAGAATTGTTTCAATTTTCTTATTTTTTTAATTCTGTATTAATTTCAGGCTTTTAAATATTATTAAGTGAAAACTATATTTACTAATCATAAACGAAAAGCTTAATCGAATACAAATAGCTTAAAAAGAATTTTGAATTTATGTATATAAAGCAGGAAATTATAACTAATATCTACATATATATATATATATATATATATATATATATATATATATATATATATATATATATATATGCATATATATATATATATATATATATATATATATACATATATATATCTTTTTCTAAATACTGTTTGTTGATATATAAAATTATACAAAATTATACATCGTTATATAATATATAAACATATATATATATATATATATAAAGCGATGTGTTAACTTTAACTTGTGACGTTAGCATATTTCCTTTGTCGAAGTTAATGTTAGTGTTAATTTGTTTATTGTTCTGTTGGTGTCTATTAAATAGGATGACTCAATGTATAAACAGAAAAATCTGTTAAAACGTGTGTCAAAATTGCACATCCGACTTAAAATGTTTTGTGTTAAATAAAAGAAAATCATGATCTTGTAAGCGTTAATTTAAAGAAAAGAAACAAAAGCAAAGCCTGATGTACCGATTGTTGTTTGCGTGTGTATAATAAAGGTTGTCGCAAGAGAGGATATTTCAAATACAAGCAAATATATGAACCTTTTTCGCAAATATGGCAACACACCATCGATTGGAGTCGATTTTTACATTAAGCAAATAAATACATTTGAAAAATAAGGACTATACTAGCGAAAATATCTTCATGATATTTAGTCATGTAGAATTATTTTATATTATCATTTTTTTCAACATGGAACATCAGACTTATGGTTATTCAAGGATGTTTTCCGAATCGCATTTCTGAAAAAAGCACTTTGGATATGATATACGATTATATTAAGATTAATTAAAATTATTTTTTTTTTTTTCAAATCAGAATTTTGTACTTGAAAATATGTAACATGAATAAATACGATGAAAGTGAAAATTTAGTCTGATCTGCCGATTGTTGGTTTGCCATAATAGAGGATATCTAGCCGATTATCATTTTCTTATTACGATATTATATGTTATATGTTATATTAAATAACAATGATTCTGCAAGACATGGCAATACATCGATTGAAGTTGATTTTTACATTAAGCATATAGATACATTGGCACAAAAAATTGAATTTATTGTTTGTTAATAAGATTCTATAACTTACCTGTCCAAAATAAGTAAACAGTTAGTAGCAATTGTATGCTGGGATTTTTCAAAACATCCGGATCAAATATGATTAAACGGAACTTAGCAAATTTGCTTGAAAAGGAGTTTTTCATATTTATTCGCCGACCGTTTTCAGAAAGATCAGGATTCTTTATCTGAAAAGCAATTTGATTCTGTTTAATAACAAATTATATTGTTCAATATTATACAAAGTTATTGATCTGTGTTAAGTAAATTTCAACCAAAATTTCTAGACAAGTTATGCTTTTAGTTTCTTAGTGAGTTACACTTGTGTTGTTTTATTTATTTTTGGCTTCGTTGCAATTTTAATAATTATTATTTTTAATGGTGAATTCAAGTTGTAAAGCCACATAAATACCTGCTAGCCCGTCATAAATTCGTCACCTTTATTTGAACGCAGACGGAAATATCTGTTTCCTTCTCTAATCAGGCTTTTAATTTCATTTGAACGTAATACGCCTCCACATATGTATTTGTTTAGTGTAATGTTTTGGACTATGAGACTAAAAGTTCGAATCTCACCTTTGGTCGAATTGTCGAATTATCTTAATAATATCGACTTGAGAAATTAATTCCTATTTCTGGTGCCATCGGGAAATAGCTGTAAACCTTTTGATCCATGTTTTATGAGTGACATTTTTCGGGAGTCATCGATGGTTTTGCACTCACTCAAAAAAACTGTCACTCCGTTTCTCTCTGATTAGTTGCAGTATAAAGTACAGATTAACTCAGTGTGTATTGAAGAAAAACAGATGTGTCTGAGCAGGCGTTTGCAGAAGGGATGAGCTAGCTAGCCAGCTTAGTAGACATATGTACACGGAAACTATTAGCCGGTCACTATCCATTACATTAACTAGGGCACAGGTTACAAATAGTAGGAACCTTTATCAAACCCACAATACCCGCTTTATTCAACCAATTTGAGTTCCTGACCTCCTCAGCTGATAAGGCTGAATGCTTTGCTTGTAAATTCTCATCCAATTCAACGCTATACTCATCTGGTGTACCCACACCTGATTTTCCGCCTAGAATTGAGGCTCTACTAAGTGAGATGCATATAATCCCAACGATGGTACTGGACATCATCTCTAAATTAGACTCCCATAAAGCTAGTGGTGGGAATGGAATACCGGCCATTGCTCTGAAGAAATGTGCTCTTGTCCTCTCTAACCCATTGCCTCACCGACTCTTGCTTTCCAGCCTGTTGGAAGTCATCATCTGTTGTGCCTGTCTTTAAAAGTTCTGGTGACCCTTTTGATTCGTCTAACTACCGTCCTATCAGTCTCTTACCACTCTTCGGTAAAGTCTTCGATACTCTAATCAACGAGCAAGTGATTAAGCACCGTAATTCACATAATCTGCTCAAGCAATATGGTTTCCGCTCTGCCCGATCTACCGCTGACGTGCTCACGGCCATAACTGAATTTGTATACCATGCCTCAACAATAATGGAGAAGTTAGAGCCGTGGCTCAAGACATCTCTAAAGCGTTTGATAGGGTTTTGCATGCCGGCCTTCTTCGCAAGCTTCAGTATTACAGGACGATTATTTGACTTAATACAATCTTTCCTGTAAAACCGTGAAATAAGGGTCATCCTAAACGGGTTCTCCTCCGGCTCTTTTATCATGAATGCTGGTGTTCCCCAAGGCTCTATCTTGGGCCATACACTGTTCCTGATCTTCATCAATGACCTTCCCGATGTCATCAGTTCCCAAGTTGGCATCTACGCGGACGACGCTACTATTTACTCCTGCCTCAATAGTAAAACCTGTATCGTTGACAAACCTAACGTGACTGCTAATCTCGAAAAGGACCCCCAATCTGTGGTCGAATGGGGCAGAAAATGGCTTGTAAACTTTAATGCCTCCTAAACGAAACTGCTCTCCCATCTCAGAGAACCCTCTCTGCCTCCCATCAGAATGGTTGATTCCCAACTCCTCGAGAGTGCCTCGTTACGCCTGCTCGGTCTCACGCTGTCCATTGACATGAGATGGAATAAATACATAAACTCAATAGCTTCATCTAACACAAGAAAAGTTGGTACTCTGTGTCGTGCCAAAAAGATTTTCTCGTCTGCGTCCATCCTTCAAATCTATAAATCAACCATTCGTATTTGCATGGAATATTTCTGTCATATACGATCTAGTGCTCCCGCTGTACGTCTCGAGGTCCTGGACAAAATCCAGAGACGAATATGCAAGGTAATAGGTCCTGATCTGGTATCTAGTCTGCAATCGCTATCCTGTGGATCCCCTCTGTCTCTTCTACAAGTATTTTCACGGCATCTGTTCCGACGAGCTACTTTCGCTGGTTCCCAAACTGCATGAATTTAAACGATCTACCAGGCTGGCATCTCGGTTTCACCCTTTCACTGCCAAAAACGGTTAAATGTAACCGTCTCTTCTACTCAAACAGCTTCTTCTCTCGCACTTCCCGTCTGTGAAACTCCCTTCCCCTTACTTGCTTCCCCAGTGACTATAATCTTCAAATATTCAAATGTAATGTCAATCGACATGTGATACTCTGAACTTGTTCCCCGTCCTTCTCTGTATCTTTTCCTCAAACATGCCTCTTGTTCTCAATCCTCTGTAACCCCTTGCGTGCTAGTGGCACTCCCGATTTGCTTGTGGTGAACTGCTTTAAAAAATTGAACTCACTACAACCCTAATGATACAAGAGACTTTGAACCATTGTTATAGATTGATTCAACTTTGTTCTGTACAAGTCTAAAATATAGACACGTTGTGAGAATCAAACTGAGAATCGTAATGATTTGTCAGATGAGCTTGCTAGAGATTGGCGTCCATATTGATAAGTACTGAAACGATATAACTTATTGATATTTATTACATTAGTATGAATTGTTTAATGTCTCCAGTCAATTTTTGATTAAATGATTCTATAAAATGCCACCGTCAGAAGTGAATGAAAAAAGAAAGGAAGAAAGAAATATTGACATTTACGTTTGTCTGATCTTTATATTCAATCGGCTTTTCGTCTGGATCGAACCCTGATTCCGGTTTTAGTAGAAACTCATTCATAGACTTCAATTTGATTTCTGAAATGAGACGCTTTCTATAAAACTTACAGAATACAGTTTTAGAAAATTAAGATATTCTGTACTCATCATTTAAGTGGGAGGAAATTGTGCATTTACTGAAACTCATTCAAATAAGAAGCTCTTTTATTCCCATCGGATTTTTCTATTTTACAATTTTACGTACATACATTTGTTTTTTGTTTTTTTTTTGTTTTCTTTGGGGGGTTGTTTTTTTCATTAATGTTGCTTGACATATATCTCTAGGGACATACACAGTTTCGTTTATTCAAACGTTTCGTTGACTGCTTGACAAACACGTCTTTTGGTATATACATAGGTTTTTTGTTCACTTAAACGCTTAATTTATTTTACTTGGCAATATGTCTTTAGTTACATACAATATATATATATTTTCTTTTAAAAATTCCATTGTAGCTGCATTTGACAATTTATTGCAAATACAACATTTGTTTTATTAAAACACGATAAGTCTTAAGTCTCCAGATACATACATACAGTTTTCTTCACGTAAATGTTTTATTAACGCTTCTTCACAACACATGTATAGACAAATACGTGGATTTTTCGTTCATTTAAACGCTTCATTAACGCTGCTTGACAACACGTTTCTAGAATAGTTGGTGCAGTAATTTTAAACGAAATTAAATTGTAAGAACAACTGTTAAATGTCTTTTATTCACGAAAAGAATAATAAAATATATGCATAAACTTTAATCGAGTTGTTAAGGTTCCAAGAATCAGAACCGTGTTCGAATCGTATCAGGAACCAAATTTTGGATAAACAAAATTATTCGTCAGTCGTTGATGGTTGTACTAGCACAAAGTCACAAGTCATTGTGACCGAGACTTTGAGATTACTGACCATGTTCAAAGCTGCCAGATTATGCGCTCTCACAAAGAAATTGTAACTAAGTTCCACTCAGCATAATTGCAGTATAAACTATAGATGGGCTCTGTGGGTGTCGAAGAAACATAAATCTGCCTGAGCAAGCGTCGGCAGAAGGTATTATCTAGCCGCCATAGCAGAGGAACTAATTTATATTTACTTTGCGGGACAGACTTTTTGAGTTGATTGCTATCTTATACTCATCGTCTTCACTTGTTATTTCCTCCTCTTACATTTATGTCATACACTTTATTCAGTAACTTTTGTAAAAGGCGTAAGCTGTCCCCAAATAACAAACTACTGGTCAGAAGGTCCCATATGAATGGGCTTCTGGCAGTGCTTTTGTTTCAGGCTTTGACAGAAGGCCAGAAAGTCGCTAAGACACCGAGAAGGCTGGGAATATTTGAAAAATTGTAAGGCCTCACATACCCAAATTCCTTGGTGCTAAAATACTAACCAAGGACTGGACACACGTTTTCCTGAATATCTCTGTCTTGCCTCCTCCTAGAATCGATGCTATAACTACTGTACAACATATAATAAAACGAGATAACAAAAGGAAATAGTCCATCATTGATGTAGGGTGAGAGTTAAGAATAGGGTGTAACGTTGAGATCATAAGAATTGAAGACAAAAATGACACAAAATGTAACATAAGCCATTGCCTTCAGTAGCTATTGAACCGTATATTGGGACAAATTTAGTATAGCTAGATAGATAGATAGATAGAGAGAGAGAGAGAGAGAGAGAGAGAGAGAGAGAGGTAAAAAAAATGAAAGTTTTACAAAAGTCTGTACAAAACCCGCTATAAAAAGAAAATAATAATAATAATAATATTTGGAAAATGTTTTTATATATTTATATGTGATCGGACCGCAGGCTGTTTAATCTCGCACGCCTCAAGTCCAAAAAAACTACGGGAGGCTCTGATCAGAGACATTCTATTTGCGGATGACGCTTCAGTTGCAACCCATACACAAGAGAAGCTCCAACCTCTGATGAATCGCTTCTCTGAGGCCTGCGGGGATTTCAGACTGCCTATCAGTCTGAAAAAGGCGAATATGCCACCCTCATCATCACTATTGATAACTACGAGCTAGAAGTTGTGAATCAGTTCACGTACCTCAGGTCTACGATCAGCAGCGACCTCGCCCTTCATGACAATGTCTTCACGGACGTGCAGGCTTGTAGACGTAATACACAATGCTTAATTAGTAATATAAACACACACACACACACATATATATATATGTGTGTGTGTGTCTACGTGTGTGAGTGCACATTTAATATGATTATAAGAATTCTGTATTGTTTATAAATTACAGTTCTCTTTAGTGAAATGAAAGATAAAAACAATTACTTTCACTAAATCTATGAACCTTGAATCTACTGCTTGTACATCAAAGGTCAAAAGGAGATTTATGCCGTACGATTGAGCGTGTTGATTTCATCAAAAATGATATTCCAGGAAATACACTTACCTTTTATCTCCTTATTCTTCGTGCTGACGGTCTTAAGCGGACGACACAAGGCGCCATAAACAACAAAGTTTAAATATAATCCACCCATTAGCAAAAATGTTCCCCTCATACCATAAAAGGAAATGCTTCGTTCCAATAAATAATTAAGAGCAAATGCACCAATCCCACTTCCGCTTTGAGTAATTCCCACAGCCAAAGTCCGTTTCTTCTTGAAATAAGATCCAACGATGGTGTTGCCAGCAAAATATGTTATTCCCCCAAAACCGCCTGAAAGAACAAATGAAAAACCTAACAAAGGTGAGCTAAGCTAGAGAGCAGGCGAAAATGAACAGGTTTGTGGTTAAAAAAAAATATCATAAAACATATTTGTCCATTTATAAAATAAATCGAGGGAATTTCCTTGAATTAACGAACATATTTCATTTGAATGGCTAATTTTAATAAAGTTAAGTTCTATATACTTGAAACTTATCATTTGTCTTATACAATTTGTCGTCCAGACAATATATATATATATATATATATATATATATATATATATATATATATATAGAATTTCAAAAAAGAAAAACAATGAATTTTCAGGTACCATTATAGACATTTATTTCACCTGTCCTTTTAAAAGGACGCCGGATCATCAGATTCTCTTTGTTCATATTTATGAAACAAATATGTCTATATATATATATATATATATATATATATATATATATATATATATATATATATATATATGGGAAAATTGTATGACAAAGTGAAAATAGTTTTACACATAGATGAGTTTTGTCCTTCAAGATTTCATTGGACAAAATTTATTATGTTTGTGTGACATCCAAGACAGAGGGTTGCAGGCAATTTTTGATTTTTTATCGCTGCCGAATTCATTTTATATTTCTAATTTATCAACTGCACAATATAGTAGAGTTTCATTTGGGCACCATCTGTGAAAAAAGAACATAATGACACAATTCAATCCACCAGAAATTTGAAATGGCTAAACTGTTTGAACATTTGCACCAGAAGCTCCCATCCGAACACTTCAGGATGTTTGGGTGTCAATCTGAGGACAATGCAAAGTATTCGAAAAAAATTGGATCTATCGAATTATGATTAGAATGTCGGCAGCTCGAAAAAACCCTATGCACGTTTTAAGAAAAAGGACTAACGAATTTGTTGGTGAGGGATAGCAGAATCAACACGGAGGTTTACATTAAATGCACTGAAGAGGTGGTGATTTTGCCCAGCATCAAAAGGATGGCGTATGGAAGATCCTCTCTCTGGCAACAGGACTCTAAACCATGTCTCACAAGCAGTTGAACCCAGTCATGGTTGTCAATTTATTGTGACCACATCACATTTGGGGCCTAATCCCCAGACTGCAATCCCCGCTTGATTATTATGTGTTTTTTTAGGCAGTTAAACGAGTGACCAAAAAAACTTTTAAAAGATGAAACGAAGGAAGGATTATGGGAGCATTCACCAATTTAAACAAAAGACCGTTGAAAAGAGTTGCAGGAGATTCCGAAGTTATCTGGAGGCCATGATTAAAGCCAATGTCGTTTTATTGAATATTTATATTTTTTTGTATTGTATTTTGTATTTTTATAAAAACATGGCGTGCAAATTTTCGGGATAACAAATGAGACATCGTTCTAAAACTTATTGAACTATTTAGTTCATGCCACGTTGACTGTTAAACAATCCTACTTAAATTGCCATATTAGTGAAAAAAACGCTCTCACTGAAATTTTCAAAAATCCAACTTTAGCATTGCGACCCAACGACAATGTCCATTCAAAGTTTGTATCTGTTATCCATAAAACATTTAAAAAAAAACATATTTTAATTTATTTAATTTAAGATATTTTTTGTGAAATTTTAGTAAATATATTTGTTAAAATTAGATGCCAGTGTCATTTTCATTACAACGTAATTTAGACAATTTATTCATTGCAACCGGTAAAATAAAAATATTTTGATATTCGAAAATATTTCGGTAAATTAATTTGAATCAAAAATACAATTGATCCTGAACATTGTAGCTTCATTTTTTATAATCAATTTGGATTATCTGTCTATATTTTGAGATACATTCATGTATATTTACATTATTCGGACTATTGTCTTCATATGGCGATAAAGATGAGGACAATAGACCGAATAAGATCTATCATCAATTAAGATTATTTCTTTAAAATGAATATTTTGGTGATTAATGACACTAGATTTTATTTATTTATTTTTGGTGGGAATTCCATTACTAGTTTTGCTAATCAAGTTTAGCTATTTAATTAATTTAAATATTTAATATTAATAGATCATTTCTTTGTAATCTGTATTGGTTTTCCTCTTTTTTCAAAAGCATGAATATAATTTTTAAATCAAAAAAAAATAGTTTTCTCTTGATCTTGAGCAAATGATACTAAATCGTGGAAGGGCATCGAGTTAATAATGCTGCAAGGAAACGGTTTAACCAAAATTAGGATCGACTTAAATCAGAAATTAAAAATTTCTAAAGTCAATTCGAATAACGAGGAAAATGACGGAAAATTAAGAAAATTTTTTATGATTTGTTATTGACTATCAAAAATGAATATGAACATTTGTTAATATAAATATTTATGAAGTATATTGAAAATATTTGACTGAATAGGGACAGTAATGTGGTTGAAACTGTGCAAATATGAATTGTTAGTATAAATGAAAAGAAATAAGTAGAGAAAAGGAAGAAACCCAAAAAATAGAATATGTATATCTTAACATAGAAAGAGATGAAATATACAAATATATGGAAAAGAATATTGAAAATTAAGATTTTCAAGGATAAAGAAAAGTGCTGGAATGGACAGAAGTTTTGCTTTCACTTTAATGACAACGACCAGATGCTAAAATTAATCTTAGGATAATCGATTAGAATAAAAGATATATAGAAAAAAATTACGAACAGGTCAAAGGACGTAAATAAAGAACTTCAACTTTCCCAGCAAAAACTTGAATTGTTGCCAGAGCACGGAAAATGAATTTAGCAAATGATAACTTGTCGATGGATTGCATTAAACATCATTAGAAGCATTAGAAAATGGACCTGGTTAATGAAACCTTTTTTAGTCAAGAATAAAATGTTTCAAACTGATATATTTAATTTTAATGCGATCACTTTGACAGTTTTGATTTGAACTATAGTATGATATCATGAGAAAATTTACGACTTTTTAATTAAATGACAATCTACTCATTATTGTTGGAAAATGTTAAAAAAAAAATAATGACCTGTTTACTGTTTTTTAAAATAACGTCAAAATCAGTTTACAAATTTTAAGATCATTATTTGATGATTTTTTTTTCTCTATAATTTTTAAATACATAACGAGTTCAGTGTTCAAATGCCTTTAACCCTAAGCCTAACCTAAACCTTGTAAACGGAATTTCATACGCCCAACTTTTGGTAAATATCTTAAAATAGTAGAAAATAAATAGTAGATATCATACTAAGAAAAAAAAAAAATGAACGGTACAAACTCAAAAGGAAATATATTAATCCCGGGACTGAAAAAACCTCCGACCAAATTTTCAACAGATTTGTGTCAGTGCCTACTATAATAAATGGCCGGGATCATCTCATCCTCGTCAGATCAGACAAATCTCTTTACTACGATCCTTACCTCGAACTCCAAATTCAGGCCATTGCCTTTCCACTTTCCCCAGGTTGACGGAGCACAATCTTAGTAATATTTTTATCACAACATGGGAAGTCTAAGGACTTGAAAAGGTTTGACCAATGGAAGAAGGCTAACGGTCCAAATAAAATCCTAGCGGTTTTCGTTAAGAATATCGACAATCTTAGCAAAACTATTTAGCCGATGTTTAAAGGAGAACTGTTTCCTAAGTCTGTGGAAAATGTCTCGTCTGCATGTCATATTTTAACGAATGCAAGTGATTACTCATATCTTAGTGTAGATCCATCAACCCCTCAGTTATCATTAGAAAATATTTTGAAACTATAAAAACGTGGAGCAACGTCTTGAGCGATCAAGCAGTACAGATGAGGATCGGCTCGGTCCAATGCTGATATCCTGTCATTTCAGAGAGGAATCAGAGAGGCACTAAACAATAAATACATGTTAAGGAAATCGCTTTAGATATTTCAAACTAGACAAAAGAAGAACATGGAGAAGGTTGCTGCCAAGTTCTCCAGCTATAGAATCACTGAAAATTTCCTGAATTATGTCCTTCCTCGTGTGTAGGTCCCTTCTTTATAATTTGACGAAAAATGATCTGCCACAAATAATACAAATGTGAATATCAATGTTGGCGAGACATTGTATATAGCTCAATGTGTTGATGGTGAACTGGCTTACCTGATTCAATGTCCCAAAACCAAACTAGTGACGTTCCATCATCACCGAAAAAACTTCCAACGGTTCACCTATCACAATGAACGGGTCCTCCTTAAAGGGTAACTTGCCGATGGCTATACGGATTTAAACATCAATTAGAACTCAAGTAAAATGGACATATGATCCATCGCTAAAAATATGGATAAATAGCCAAATTAAAAAAATGTACCCTTTTTCGAAATGACCCATTACTTTTCCTAAAATGGTCTTTGGTACAGAGGGACATTATTTTTTTAAAAATTTGCAAACCAACGCATAGCATGATTCCACTGAAAATAGAACCAACCATAGCTGTTTCCAAGTAGGAAATAGTGTCAATTCATTAAAGGAATCAAAAAAACAAGTCCAAGGAGGAGAATGGAATTTGAGAATGTCAGTCCTCTGTTTTGATAAAATTAATCATGAATCCAGCAAACCAAACTTGTCTTTGTCAGTTCCATTCTGAAAATGAAGGGCATTAACGTTTTATGGATTTAAATTTCTGTTGATTAAATGACAACAGCAGCTCACAATTTTCAAGACCTACAAACAAATTACAAATGATAGAAACGGTGACTTAATGATTGTTCCAAATAGTAATGGTTCTTTAACCTTAAAACTGCACAAAAAGATTATTTCAATAGTTTTCAATTTTTTAGGTTTCAAGATATATATATATATATCTTCTAACCTAAAAATAGTCAATTTTTTT